AGAACACCAGAAATTAACAGTTTTAAATGTAGACGTAGATAGAAGTAAAGTTCGGGGTCTTATGTTTCTCCAGACATTGTAATTTCTGAATGATGAGATTTATTTTCCTCAGCAGTTTCACTTCAGGTCTGTAGGTGTTTCAGCATATAAAATACTGTTCAACATCTATCACATACACATAGCACTCCACTTGATAAGACATACATTTAAACTTTGAAGTTCTTTACACAATGAGCTTTCTTGTTACAGACACATTTCTTTATACTTCTAAGTGTTTGGATGGTGGTGTAGTGACGAATGGTTCACTCCACATCCGCCTTAAATCTCCCTGAAATGTCGAATCCATAAAAATATTACAAACGTTTTTATGTACAGTTACAAATTACTAAATGTGAGTAATTCAAACTAATATAATTATATAGTATGAACTTAGTTATATGGAACAAACAAATATAGTAATATACAAAAATCCTAGAACACTGTTTAATTTACTTAGGCTCTCTGATAGATTTTGTAATATATTCTAATAAAAAGTGTGTTTCAGTGGGAATTAAAAATAATTTTCAGGTTATATATACTTCAATATTAAAATGCAAGAGACTTTAAGAGATGCTATTACAAATTTGTAAAATTTACTGTGTTTGAATAGTGTACGGTGAGCTCTAGGATTTATAGATCTCTGTCACACTGATGGACCCTCTGTTCCACAGGGGCCATTTGTTACGAGAAGCTTAATACCTAGATCTCCCACATTCACGATTTTCTCGACTCTTCCTGACTGATCGAGGCATTTCTGAGTTAATTAAATCGCCTATGTTAAGTATCTCACTTCTATGTGTTCTATTTCATGAAGCGTTCCAAATAAATCATTACCTAGAGTGTAGAAAAAGAGGGATCAAATGATCTATGAACACACCTGGTTTTAAAACAACCTAAATTCCTGCCACGACTGTTGTTGTTGTAAAATTTCTGTATTTGAAGTGTAACGTTAACCCTAGGATTTATTTGAAGCATTTGGTGAATTGACACTAGTCGTTTTAGTCTCTTACCTTCAACTCTATACATTCTGCTTGATTTGTACACAAGTGCACAGTAAAAGCTAACAATTTTAGTGGAACAAAACACTTTTAATGTGAGAATCAGTTGGATAACACACAAGTGAGAATGCCAGTACACTAGGTATTTTTTATCTTCTTCCTTTAGTAAAGGTAATTCTTAAAAGTTGAACTCTGGCAAAATGTTCATGTAGGTTTTAAAGTAGAACTTTGGTCAAGAAATTATCTAAGTTCCTTTCACTCCAGTTATCTATTATTCTGGGTCATTCACCTTTTGTATCGTGTGCACTTGGTAGTGGGAAAGATTGCTGTGAAAACAACACATAATATGCAAAGGTAGGCAGTTATATTTTCCACTGTTAGGTCGGGTGATATCTTGAGGTTACATCCTCACTTATTTTTTGTTGGGAATGGCCAATAGAATGTTGGCTGTATTGTAAAATTGAATATATAATGATATGTTTTCTCATTCTGAAACAATTCTTCTTCTTCTTCTTGCAAGAGATTTCTGAAAGCTCCAGCAAAAGTGCTGTCCTTTGTCTACATACACTCATCACTTTTTACCGTGTATGAAGCGTAGAATAAAGATTATTTTCACTGTGTTTCATATTGTGCCTAGTTTATTTCTTTACTTTAAGATCCACCAAAGATAACAGAATACAGATTTATTCAGTTGTTAAACCCCTCATTATTTGTGGCTTCTTACAAAATTTACCTGGAAGTATCAAACAAGTTATTTTCATTGATTGAATAATGTATTATTCAAGTCATTGCTTTTTATAAAATTCACTGTGCCCCTGAGCAAAGTACAAGTGAAACTAAACAATCAACACTAATCTAAGTAAAATCTGTGACTGTATTTGCATCACATTGTTGGAATTAAAATAACTTCAGAGAATAAAAACTAAGTCACGGATCTGGGTTCTCCAACACTAAAGTTGGATATATTATTATTTTTGAAGCCTCAGTGGTGTCTATTGTAGGTAAGTACTTAGATGTCTTTACTCTGATGCTCGCTATTATCATGATAATAAACTCAAAAAGTAGTAATTGCTTCAGTTATTTTGTACTCATTCAAAGAACAGTATTTAAATTATAAGTTAAACATTTCCCAATCTACCAATTCATAGTATGTATATGTAATTAACAAAAATGACCATTTCTTTCAGATGGGTATACTTTCAACTAGCCTTATTTCAAACTCACCTACTTAACTTTGATGAAATAAACATATAGACATTCATTTCAGTACCTTGATTGATTATCTTGTTCTTGAAGTTCTTGTTTGAACTTTTTTTTTTCTCTAGACTGTTACATGAACATCAACTACTATATATGTATTCTTAAGTCACTATTAAGCAAGTAAATAACCCCAGCTGACCTTTATGTATGCCATTGTTATCAGCGGAAGCAGTGTGAAAGGTACCAGGTATAACAGTGCTGGCTGAGCTGCTTTAAACACTTCCGATGACACTGTGGCTGTCAGAAGTCCTGAAAAAAACAATTAATATCATAGATTTCAATTTATATTACTTTCTCCTTGCACGATTCTTGGATATTCAAACTAACCGACTAGTCAGTTACCACGATTACTTATAAAGAGGAATACATCCAGAATTGGCTATCTTTTATTTATAACAAGTAATACATAATAACAGGATAAATGTCAATATAAAATTATCTTTTTAATTACTTTTACTCATAACATTTTTAAACTTTTTGAGAAAAAAATTCAAAAAATATTTTTATACATTAATCATAATGAATTCATCTTATCATATCCTACCTTCCATCACAAATATACTAGCACATCCAGTTTCAGAGAGCTGAATGCACAAGGAAAAACAAAACAGATGCATTTCCATTTACAGACCTCACCGAAAATCTGGATCTCAAGATGATATTTTCCATTTAAGTTCCACTAAATTGCTGTATTTAAAGTGTCTTAAAATTGAATAAAATTAATAAATTTAGGACATCTACTTTTTCACTTAAAGATACAAAAAATTTAAAATAAAATTTTTGTAATTAATGTTTTTAACACATACACATGCGTAATTAAGATTCATTAAATAAGCTCACTGTTTCCTTGTTTCGTTATTAAATTTAATGATGCACTTTATTTTGTCATTGTTCGCAAAAACATGCTACATATAAAAGGATTATACATAAAAAAAACAATAATTAATTATTTATTTGTTTCATGCCACAATAAAAAACATTATTGGAAAAGTTTGGCTATATTGATTGTTAAAACTGTTAGATTGCTGCTATTTTATGTTTGAAAGAGTAAAATATTTATCAGCAGATTTCATAACCTGAGTGGGTTGTATGTTAGTTTTTCTTGACCATATCCCTTAACTCTCATCCCTACTTCAATCATGTGTCATAATAATGAAGCTATGCATAAAATAGATTCAGATGTCCTACTTAATGTTTACATATTGTCTGACCCACCAAGAATGAATAAAAACTTAGTCTATCTTATAAAAGAATATTGGAAATTTGTTTTCTACTGTTGAAAAGCTCTTAGACTTGAAAATCACTGCAGTAAAAAGTACTACATGTTAGAGAGGTTTAATGTGTGTTCTGATTATCAATCTGTATGTAAATAATGTATACAAGTGATCTAAATTATTGTTATTTACATATCATAATCTTGTGCAATTCTCCAGGTATTGATAATGCAAATAAGCTTTCTTTATTTGAAATTAACTTTTTATTATATAATTTAAAAATTAAAAAAATTAACTCTGTAACTATGATAGTGTAAGTCATATTATAATAATATTTCATATTAATTTTTAAATCATTAGTTTCTTCCAATGAATTGTAGCAGCATCCTTGGATTTAAATTTTTCATTCAGTTAAAAAGGAATATGGAATAATATTGAATAGAAAACACTGTTTTATTTGATTAAAACTTTTACAAAAATCTTAAGATTTACTTGTGTAAAGAAGTTATTCCTAATATACAACAAAATAAATTCACCTAGAAAATAACCGATCAGTGAGCAGTGAAAATATGAAATCTTGTTCAACTGGTTTGGTGGAGGAACACCAGTTTCAGCAGAACTGAGTTGAAATTTCTTGTAAGCATCGTACCGCAACACAAAACAAAGGAGGAGTCCAGGCATTACCTGAAGAGAAAGTATCACTAATGTATTCGACATTAACATTTTCAAGACTGTAGAAAAGTGAACGTACACTCAAGATAACTAAAATGCCAATGAAAAATAAAGTTTTAGTTTTCTTAATTGTCCATTCTATCATTGTCAGTTCTTTACTTTACAACTTTAATTTTTCATAGTTGGCTGAGTGTAGCCTAGTGGTTAGGATGTCAGGCTGTGGACTGAAAAGTCTAGCATTCAAGATATAATTCCACCGAATAAGCTCCAAGTTTTCAACTGTAGGTGTGCTATAAAAGTGACAGTCAATCTTATTATTTGGTTCAAAGAGTTGCTGGCTGCCTGCTTTATCTCTGGTAATTAGTTCCAAATTTAGGGACAGCAATACCAGAACCTTAGGGGTTCCTCACCCGACTGTTTAGCCCACTTGCGCATACAGTTCCATTGAGGTTGAAAATTCCAATTCCATTTCTTTTATCCGTTTAAAAGTATGTCTCAATCAAAATATTTTAAGTGATGATAAAATGTCTTTACATAAATATTACTGTTAACCTAAACGTATACATACATTTTCTTCTATTTCTAGATTTCGATTCTGTACAGAAACTGACATTTTTCAATAAAAGCAAAATAATATTCCACAAAAACATCAAGAAATCTTAAGAATCACATTACTTATATACATTAAATATTTATTAAGTACACATGGTGATTTATTAAGATGTTTTACACTAATAACCCATTTACTTGCAAGATAAATTTTTTATATATACAAACAGTATCCACCACAACTTTTTTAACTAATGCATTTAAATGACTAATTAAAGATTCAGAGGGTTTAACTCTTTCTGGACCAGGGAAGATAGGTCACTAACTTCCCTTAATTTTTTCTTCTGATAATGAAAACACTTAACCATATTGCATTAAACTTAGTATAACTCACTAAATAGTATCTAGTTTCTACTTTAAAAATATTCTTATAACTTTATTTAGTATTTCTCTCATTTTTGGGATTGTGAAATTTCCAAAATTTTGTTGTAAGACATGGTTTTGAAAAAAAAAAATTAATTATTGTTGATCAAAAAGATCCATGTTCTATATACATTCTGTTTCAATTTGATTAATATTCATTATCATATTTCTTTTTTTTTCCTTGTCAGATAGCAGTAGTCACCACTTACATTTATAAGTTGTAAAAACATGTCAAAACTGATAAAAGTTTATTAGTGACCTTTACCTTTCAAAAAGGACATCACCATTATTATTTACTTTGTCAAACTAGGTATCATGATTTTTCTCACAATATATCAAATAAATATAATTTATTTTTAAAAAATAATACATTTTATTTATGTCCATTATTTGAATATAACAAACTTAACAATAATATTCAATAAATAAGAATTTTGTCATTGCCTACCGTACTTGCTTAACCTAACCAAGCTTACATGATGTCCTATTATAGTCAAAAATTTCTGTTTCACAAAAAAGTTTTGAACATAAAGATTTTTTGATAAACAGAAATAACATCTACGGATGCTATAACAACAATTCCACAATCAATGGTTTATTCCAGAGAATTCTAAACTTCCCACGAGACGCTGTTGTTCATCTCTACAGAAGTTCTGGGTGGTTAATATCTCGAAAAAATACAAATTAATACTCAAACCCTTTTATTCTTCATTAATGTACATAAATTATAATCTGTTCTATATAGTTGTTTTTAGCCAGTTGGGTATAGCTACTTTAGAAACCAACCTTCATTAATAATTTGATAGACCACACGTTCTAACATTATAAAAGAATGGCACAGGTTAGGTCTGGATTTTGGACAAGAAGAGCCGGGTTCAAAGACAAGCAACCACAAAATATTCCTCAGACTTTAAGTTGTGGGTTCATTATAAGAGTGACAGTCAATCCCTTAGTGAAGATGGTGGGTGGCAGGGTGTTGCTGACTAGCTGCCTTCGGTAGTTCAAAACTAGGGATGGCAGCAGATAGCTGTAGTAGCTTTGTCATAAATGCAAATGAAGGGTTGTAGTATTAGAAATACAAAAACAACTGAAAAACACCCACAAAACATAAAATGGTGAGTAAAATGGCTTACAATAATATTTTTATGTGATCATCATGTTGAAATTGTTATTCAAATATATTTTATTGTAATACTTTACTTCTTAAAACAGCTTTAAATGTGAAGTATTTTTTGTGTCAAACTCTTTGGGAAACAATAGATTAACATTTTCTAGACCTTTCATGCATCGAGTGCGTGCCTGTATATCAAATTTGAAAATTTAAGCAGTAATAATAATTTTAACCCTATTTAAACAATTTTTACTTTAATTATTTCCGAATTGACATTTTTTCACATTTCTTTGGTGTAATTCCTCAAGAAAAATGTTCAAACTTACATTTATGTTCAGTTCTAACTCTTTTGAAAATAAAATTAATTAAGTCTTGTTTCTCTCATGAACTTATTTCTCAGTTTGAGGATTGATTATCGCAGGCCTTTATTCACAACACTTGCTATAAAATCATAAGATTGAGAAGAATGACTAATGAAGAACAACTTTACAAATAGCCACAAACAAAGTTTAAATACCATTTGGTAAAGTGCTTATAAACTATGTGCATCAATGTAGAGTGAATAAAGAAGTTGGAGAAGTAATAGATGGTTTTTATGACAGTGTTTAGGCTTAGCTCTTGTAGAGTAAAATAAAGGAATTTAGTGGGAAGTTTAGAAGAATTAAGAATAAACAAACAGATCTAGGATTTTGTTTATTATAGTTGCTTTATTTCTTTAGATATTCTCTTAATTTTCTAAAATGTCTCCATGTTAAATTATACTTGTTTGGAAATGATGGCAATTTTCTTCCACAAAAGGACATTAGGTAAGCCTTATTAGGATTAGAAAGTATGGTAGCAAGAGCAAAATGTTCTGATGATTCAAGTCACGCAAATAAATATCTTATAACTTATTGAAAAGAAAAATATATTTATCAGATATAAATATTGACACAATTTTGGAAAATCATGTCCTAAGTCACCAATAAATTTTTGACAGTTCATGAAGTGTGTTTTAAAAATTTATAGCGAGACATGTTGACTACCACAATTGAGAAAATAAACTTTCAAAAGAAGAGTCATTGATAATTAATCAACTTGAAATTAACTGGATATATAGAATGGAAATTTCTTGTCAATAATAAAATAATGTAACTTTTAAAAAGTGTCTCACAACAAAAATCTTGGAAATTTAACAATACGACAAATAATAGAAAAACTAAATTAAATCATACAACTATTCTAAGCTGTAAACTAATTATTACATAGTGAGTATTAATTTAACTTGGTTAAATAATTAGACTGTGAGAAAGAAACAAAATCAGATTATATCAGTGATACCTCTCCAGTCCAGAAAGAGTTTAAAAAATTTGCTTTGACCATTTAATAGAGCACCTACCACCAGGTATAAATGTATGTAACTATTACCATAAAGCTTTTTTTGTTATTGAGAATAAAGTTAAACAATGGGCTATCTGTGCTGTGCCCATTGCAGGTGTCAAAACATGGGTTTTAGCATTATACGTCTTCAGACTTACCCTGGAGTCACAGAGGGAGCATTTTCATAAATACTTGAAATTGCACACTTTTCATTTTTTCTGGTTATGCCATAAACTGATGAAAACTTGATTTTTTTAAGTCCTTCCCGTAAAGCTGTTCAAAATGCTCATAACCAATATTATGACACATTCTTTCAAGGTTAATGACATCCCAACTAATTATTGTAACAAAAAATACATATTAAAAAAAAGAGACTCAGAAATACAAAAGAAATGAGTGCAACACTTTTCACTTTTACATCACCATGAGTTTTATTTATTTATATATAAATATATATGTTTAGATCCTTATAAAAACATTGTCATTACTATACTTCAGAATTAAATTTCTGGCCTCATGAAATTAGTGTTTCAACTGACTTTTCCTTAAGGAAATAGTTCATGTTTAGAGCTACAATACTTACAATATCTCCGAGTCCTAGCATTGAAAAATGTCCACTATTGTGCATGCTAGAACAAAACAAGGACCTTTTTTAAAAACCGAAACTGTATGCTATATACAACAGCTATTACTCTAAATAACCAAAATCTAAAGTAGATGCGGTAGACTAAAAATAATGTAAAAAATTTAAAAACAGTGATAATATCTGCCAATTACATATCTTTCTATCCATATTCAATAATTAAACTTCACTTACTTCAGATTTTTGAAAACCACACTTGATTGTTTGGAATGTGTATTATATATAAAGCTTTATACTTATTTTTAAAGTGTTCAATCTTACTATGGATTTGAAAAAAGCATAAATACAAGTGTATGAGTAAACACTGCTTGCAAGAAAAACAAAATATAATTTCAAGTTTGTTTTAGCAGCGTATATGTTGTGATTTTTGTGTACTACATGGTTTGAGTGTTAGTGGGTGAGGTGGGGAAGCAAGTACACACAGACAGAGTTGGTTGGGGTGGGGGTCACGAATATATACTGAAATGCATGCCCATGGATTTATTAAGGTACTGACTAATACAGTATAGCTAATTTTACTTGACTAATGCAAAAAGTATGTGAAAAATAAGTAAAAACCTATGCTTATATACTTTTTTTGAGAAATCTCAGACTTCTAGTTAAATCACATATCCTAGCACACAACATTATAAAACCAAGTGTTTTAAATGACAGACATTTTTATGTTCAAAAGATGTACGGACTACACAGGTTGATTAGTACGGACTACACAGGTTGAGTAGTACACGAACTACACAGGTTGAGTAGTACACGGACTACACAGGTTGAGTAGTACACGGACTACACAGGTTGAGTAGTACACGAACTACACAGGTTGAGTAGTACACGAACTAGACAGGTTGAGTAGTACACGAACTAGACAGGTTGAGTAGTACACGGACTACACAGGTTGAGTAGTACACGGACTACACAGGTTGAGTAGTACACGGACTACACAG